AGAGGCGAAAGAGCACGCAAGAATGCAAAGGTGCAAGAATGCAAAGGTGCAAAACGCATTGCAAAAATGCAAAGATGCAATAAAGAAGTGCAAGAATGCAAACCTGCTAAAACGATGCAAAAAAATGCAAAGATGCAAAAAGCAATGCAAAGATGCAAAGGTGAAAAAGAAGTGGAAGAATGCAGAGGTGCAATAAAGAAGTGCAAGAATGCAGAGATGCAAAAAACACCACAAAAATGCAGAGATGGAAAAAGCAATGCAAGAAGGGCAGATGCAAAAAGGAGTGCAAGAATGCAAGCCTGCAAAAAAGGATGCAAAAAGCAATGCGAAGATGCAAAAAACAATGCGAAGATGCAAAGGTGCACAAGAACATGCAAGAACGCGATACTGCAAATTGCACCCCCCTTCCTTCCCCGCCCTCGCCCGGTCCCAGCTCCCTCTGCAGCTCACCGGGGGTCGAAGTCCGCCAACGCCTTGAGGGACTCGGGGGCGCGGATGAGCTTGTCGAGGATGCTGACGATGTCGGCGAAATTGGGGCGCCGGCTGCGCTCCTGCTGCCAGCATTGCATCATCAGCTGGTAGATGGCGGAGGGACAATCCAGGGGGGCGGGGAGGCGGAAGCCCTCGTTGATGGCCTTCATCACCTACGAGGAGGAGGAGGTCGAGCGGTGCTCCCCCCAGAATGCTGCCCGTTTGCAAGGACACCCCCAAAAATTGGTGTTGGAGGAAGGCGGATGCTCACCTCGTGGTTTGAGAGCTCCCAGTACGGTCGCTCGCCGTAGGACATCACCTCCCACATGACGATGCCGTAGCTCCAGACGTCGCTGGCGGAGGTGAATTTACGGTAGGAGATGGCTTCGGGCGCCGTCCAACGGATGGGGATCTTCCCACCCTGCGACAACATTGGGCTCAACCCTGCACCCCCGAAAAACAACCCCACCATGGCCAACCATCCCACCTCGGCGGCACTTACGCTGGTGGTGTAGGTGGCTTCAGGGTCGTCTTCCAACACCCTCGAAAGCCCAAAATCGGACACTTTGCACACCAGGTTGCTGTTCACCAAGATATTCCGGGCGGCCAGATCCCGGTGGACGTAATTCATGTTGGCCAAGTATTTCATGCCGGCGGCGATGCCCCTCAACATCCCCACCAGCTGGATGACGCCAAATTCCCCTTCTTTTTCCTGGGAAAAGGGGAGAATCCAGCCTCGAATCCATCTCTTGCGCCACCTTCCATGGTGGGTGTTGGTGGTTCCACCACCAAGCCTTGCTTGGCGGGGGGACGTTGCCACCACCGCGCTTCACCTACCCGTAGGAATTTATCCAGCGCGCCGTTCTCCATGTACTCGGTGATGATCATGAAGGGCTTGTCTGTACAAAAAAAAAAGACCCAAAATGGGTTAAAAAAACCCAAATCCCCCCCCAACCCCACCAAAAAACCAAAAAAACCCCAAAACAAACCACCCCCCCAAAACCCACCCCCTGCAAAAAAACCCCAACCCAC